TGGAGTCATTCAGGTTCCTGGGCACCACAATCTCTCAGGACCTGAAGTGGGACACTCACATAGACTCCATTGTTAAAAAGACCCAGCAGAGGTTGTACTTCCTTCGCCAACTGAGGAAGTTCAACCTGTCACAGGAGCTGCTGAAACAGTTCTACTCCGCCATCATTGAATCTGTCCTCTGCACTTCTATAACTGTCTGGTTCAGCTCAGCTACCAAATCTGACCTCAGAAGACTACAGAGGGTAGTCCGGACTGCTGAGCGAATCATTGGTACAACCCTCCCTTCTGAACTGAACCCAAGAACTGTACTCATCCAGAGTGAGCAAAAGGGCTGGCAAAATCACTCTGGACCCCTCACATCCAGCACACTCCCTCTTTGAACTGTTGCCATCTGGTCGACGCTACAGAGCTCTGAGTACCAGAACGGCCAGTCACAGGAACAGTTTCTTCCCTCAGGCAATCCATCTCATGAACACTTGACAATAACTGTGGAACACACAACACTATTTATACACTCATACACTTATTTATCTAACACACATACTCAGTCTACATTTCAATTTGCACACAATATACCTGTACATACAACTGTCTATGGTTATATACCTGTACATACAACTGTCGATTTGTATATTTTTATTCCTTATTTACTTGTTCTATTTTTTATTTTTTATTTAGTTTTTTTTGTTCTGTCACTGTCATTCTGTTACACTGTGGAAGCTTCTGTCACAAAAACAAATTCCTCGTATGTGTAAACATACCTGGCAATAAAGCTCATTCTGATTCTGATTCTGAGAAGAGATGTCACATTAAGGGCCCTGACGGCCAAAGCAGAGGATTGATATATCTTTTGAAAAACCGAGGCTGAAAACCATTCCGCTTTCCCAGGCAGTGTGGCGCCCGCAGACGAAAACGCTGCCCTGCGTCCTGGATGTGGATGGTTAGCTACTGAAAGCTCCACCGGAGGGGGGTCAGCTAACCCCAGCTCCCCCATATCCTGAAAGTCAAGTCGTGCAAAATTCTTAACAGGCAAACAGTGGGAAAACGGTTTGTTCCAGTGTCTTTTCATCTCCGCCATGCATGCCGGGACAGCTGCACTGAACTGTCTAACCGACGCTAGGCGTGATGGCAGTCTCTTACCATCATAGAGATCCCTTTCTGTCTCTTGACCAACCTGCTGAGAGGGCCGGTCAATGGAAAGTTTGACCAAAGCCCTGCGGCAAACTTCCAACAAGTCTAACTCCACAGCAGGGAAAGTGGGGGGCTCCCCACTCTGGTTGCTTGGTGGACGAGATGCATTAGGAGGGAGGATGGCATCCTCCTCCTCCTCTTCATCATCATCTAGAAGATGGGGGATAATTCCTCATCATCATCACCATCCTCTCCTGTCACACCCGCAAGGGCATCACCGAAGAGGGAGGGCAGATCAGGAGCCTGTACATCCATGATATCACCCCAGGTACTAGGCTCTTGTGGCTGCTTAGCTGTCTCCTCTCTGGGCTGAGTCTGAGAGGAGAAGCTTGGGTCCTGGTTTCCTCTCACGGGTTTTTTCAGGACAACTAGAACAAATAGAGCAGCCCTCTGGGGTAGATATAGCAGCTTGGGCATGCTTGACATCCAAACATGCTATACAATGAGGATGTGAATCCTTAGCTGAGATCCATAGACCACACGAGCACATGCGAGGGGGAGCATATTTCTGCCTTTCTAGCTGCGGCCATAACTCTCTTCACCCTCTTCGTAATGTAAACTCTCACTGTGATGTGTAGGTTTACCCCCCGGAGCAGTGGTACGCAGAGTTATTTTATTTTAATAAACTCCTCTTTCCCTGTATCCAACACAAACTAAATCGTACTCGATCTGAAAACATGCTGTTTATTCCCGAGAGTGGAGAAAACTCGCCTTGATGCAGACGTTTTCCCACGTTTTCCCAGCATGAGAAAAAGATACCCAGCTAACAGCAATATACGATTTAATGCATTTGCAACGTCACCAGCCGGCTTTGTCAGTAAACAGTTGAACGGTAAATCCGATAATGAGTCAGTCAGTAGGTTAGTTGTGTATAGGTTTTTACTGCTTTACTGTATAGGTTTTTACTGTTTTACTTCATTGTTGTATGCCTGTATTTATGTAACACCGTGGTCCTGTGAGGCATGACATTTCGTTCCACTGTATGTCCCCACATGCAGCAGAATGACAATAAAGCTCAACTTGACTTGACTTGACTTGAGTTGAGTACAGCTTCCACAATCTTCACAGGGAAGAAAGCGAGAATGATGCGGCAGCGGGCTGCAGTGGGTCATATACCAGGGAGGCGAGACTCCCTGATCGCTGCAGCAATTATGAAGTGCATCAGGTTTGCTCAAGCATTAAAGCCATGATCACTTGTTATCACCTTCCTAGGTTGCGTCTGTTCATACAGTATTATCTGCAATGCGGGAGTGGTCTATATCCCATAGTGAGATACCGAACGGATGTTAGAAAGAGAACGTTAGGTTACTTGCGTAACCCCGGTTCTCTGATAACAGAAGTGAGGTATCTCACCTCACCACCCTTCTTGCAGACTACACGGTGAAGAAGCTGTGTGGAGAATGACGCTGAAGTGGGCTGCGGTGAGTTATATACCGGGGAGGCGGGACTCCCTGATCGCTGCAGCGATTGGTCTGTCAGTCTGACAGACGTGGTGTAATTGGTGCTTCCGCAGTCGGTCACACCTGAGGCGTTCCCATAGTGAGATACCGAACGGATGATAGAAGAAGAACATCCCTAATGTTAATTTTTGAGCTCATGTTAAATAGTCCTTGGCTACTGTTTTAGCAAGCCTAATCAGCCTTGTCAGGTCCCTTTTGTGGGTTTCAATTCCTCTTTTGACAACAGTTGCTTAAAGTCTGTAGGCATCTAACATTCAAAAGGGTTTCAGAGAAAAACTCACCACCTACTCAGAGATTAGTCATGGAGTCAACCTCCTTATCTTCTCCATATTGAAAGTATTGTCGAGGACTTTACCCTCTCAAACGTCTCTGTCTCTATCTGTTTATCTCTTTTTTTCAAATGCTGTTATCAAGTTTTCATTGCGCACATGGCAAAGACTGGTAAACCATCATTACTCTACTGCACCTCAACACTATACTACTTATAGACTTTGATTTAGTTTGGTATTAGCACAGACTGAAATAACATTTTATTTAATTCAAAGTGAGATGTCAGGGCCTCAAGAGATCATAATTTTCTGGCTGGCAGCCACATAGTATTGATTCCCTCTTAAGCCTCCATCCTTCCGGTTTTCACATCAATCCCTGCGCAAACTTCTCCATCTGTTTGAAATTTGTGATGTAAGAATATATTTTCTCATTAAATAAATGATACTTCATTGTCAGTTATGCAGAAATGTAGAAACCTACAGACTAACATGCACTTCTGGAGTCAATAAGATTAGAAAGACATTAAATTGATCAAAAGTGGCAGAAATGTCATAGCTTTACTATTTCAAATAACTGCAGTAATTTTGAACTTTAGCAAAGAATCTAGAAAAAATGTTATCATGATATCCACAAAAATATTAAGCAGCGCATCAACATTGATAATAATTAGAAATGTTTCTTGAGCAGCAAATCCGCATATTATAATGATTTCTGAAGAATCATGTGATAATGATTGAGTAATGGCTGCTAACTAATTTAGCTCTTAAAATATAAAACAGTTGTTTTAAATTCCAATAATATTTTACAAGATTACTGTTTTTACTGTATTTTTGATCAAATAAATGTAGCTTTGATGAACAGGATTTCAGTGTGGACGGGGCTACCTACTGCAGTGCTGCAAAAATGACCAAAACGACTGACAAAACAGTATGTCATAGTTAGTTAGTCCAAATATTTAGATTAACATTAAAAACATAGCTTTCATTGCTTTGTTGTGTCTTGTCTGGTTAGGTCACAGTGTCATATTGTAATTTCATACCCAGTTATACAGCTGGGATGCGCCGGAGGTGCGTGCCTTATATAGATTTAACTATGCTAATTGGAGTAGAGAATGTTACTTCTGGCCATTGCTGCACTCAAATGTTCCTGCTTACCATAATCATGCCTTGTCTGTAGGATGGGAATGGAGCATGACGGTCAGGGCAACCGCTGCGGTGACGAAACAGCCATGGGAAGTGTCATGGCCCCTCTGGTGCAAGCAGCCTTCCACCGCTACCACTGGTCGATGTGCAGTGGGCAAGAGCTGAAGAGATACATTAAGTTAGTTCACACTTCTCTCTTCTCATACCTCACTATGTTTTATCTAAAAAAACTGGAAAGCCTTGAACTTATGTGCATATTTTAAATAGAAATGTGTCTCCTCACAGGTATGCCTATGATGTATATTGCTCATGGGTTACTTGAGCGTAAATATTGGCCCTTGTTTTGACTGGAGCTCTGCTTTGTTTGGTGTCACCTTAGGGTCAGTTGATTATTTGTTTACCTGAATTAGTCACCAAATGGTTGCTTGCTGCGAGAGAGTAGAAGGGTCAGATCAAAGGGCTTTAATTTAACTGGACAGTGGGTTGTTGTGATATCTTTCAGTTTACAGGCAATGTGACCAACGAGGATTAACTCTAATGCAACCCATAATTGTTGCTTTAGCCATGAAGATGATGGTATTTGCTCCATTGCTCCAACAGCATATTAACTAAATTGTGCAATGGTTTTGTTTTTATAAGAAACACTTTACAAATGTGTTTGAGCTCTTTTTAATTTCTGTTTTGAGTCTGAACCTCCTTTGAAGTCATAGCCAGACGATTTTGAAATAATATGGAATATTTGAACAGATAACTGTTTCATCTGCATGGGTACTTTGCTGAAAAACAAATCACACGCACACAAAAATGGACATTCACGGTTTGTTTCACAGACCGATATGTTGTGTTCTGCACCTGGGACACTTTGAAGTCATTGTTTATATGATAAATAATGTAAAAAGGCACTCTTTTTTTCTTTAAAGAGATACTACACAAAAAAAAGTGCAATTTTTGCATCATTTACTCACCCTCATGTCATTTCAAACCTGTTTGACTTTCTTTCTTCTGCGGAACACACACACACAAAAAAACATAATTTGAAAAATGTCTAAAATTAAAGAAAATGGGGTTCAGAGCTGTTTTGGACCCACTGACTATCAGTATATGGACGAAACATATGAAACAAAACCAGATTTTTTATTTTCAGCTGAACTATACCTTTAAGAAAAGACAAGCATAAAAATATGAATTATCAAAGGGAAAAAAACTTTAATTAATGAGATGGTGTTATCCAACTGCAAACGGAGACCCGTTATATAGGTTATATTCTAGGCTAAGGGATTTCTGCTGATTTTCTGTAATAAACCTCTCAATTTGAGGTCATTTATTCATTTGAGCACTCAATCTGTTCAGAAGACATCTAGTGCCACTTAAGGATTTTTGAATTTATATTCTGCTCCATGTTCAGGGTTGATCCTGTCATGGCCAAGGGCTGATGGGATGTAAATTACCCATGAATTTTGGCAACTTACTGAGGCTAATACAAGTGAGATGTTGAGTAGCTCTCTATGACAGGAAAAGCCTTTTCAGCATTGTCTATTGAGTTTAAAGTGGTCACTATTCCCGGTAGCCTTTGAGCAGTATCCAGTAATGATTTTTCCATTTACACCAAGAAAATCGATTCATTTTAAATGGGGTATGCACCTGCATTTACCAATACATTTTATTTGTACTCTTTTTTTTTTTTAACTCACAACTCAACTCTTGCATAAACTTTAACCTGAACAGTGCTCATAAAGAAATGCTGATGATTAAGAGCAGACTCAGATATATTTCTAATAATAAAAGACTTTATTTTCACTGGCTATGCTTGAGAAGCTCATCGTCGGCCTCAGCTTAAATTAGCCAGTGGGAGAAGAAAATCTCTAAGGAGACTTTTGAAGTTCGAAATCTCTTCATGGGTTGACAGTTTGAAAGCACTTTCTCCGCATGTTCTGGCCTCACTCAGCACTTCAGGATTTTGAACATTTACAGTAAATTATCTATTGCATGGATATTAGGAAGTGTGATTGATTCAGTTCTTTGAGTGTTCAGTATGAGCCTTTTAATGATATGAATGATATGAATCATCTAGAATGTACAGTACAAGGCTCATTTTCATTACACCATATGTCCACTTTAGGCTTACCATTTGCTACTGACTTTAGAAGTGGCTTCCAAAGTTTATGGGTTCTTACATTAAAACATTTATTAGGTGTACTTAAACAACTGTTGAAACTTTGTTTGTTTTTCACAGTTCATATGACTGCCTGCTGGACGATCCCTTCAAACATGACTGGCCGCTGCTCCCTGAACTACCTGGCATTAATTACTCCATGGATGAGCAGTGTCGCTTTGATTTTGGAGTTGGATACAAAATCTGTACTTCAGTGAGTATGGCTAGAGGCTATATTCTCCCTTGACAGATCTGATAAATCTCAGTCATTAAACCAAGCACCAAAATGTTATTTATTTTTTTATTTTTTGTATTTTAACTAATGCCTCGTTCAGCTCTCTGTCCAAGGTCATTTAGTTGGAAGTGCTTCAGATATTTTTTAAAATATTTCAATGCCAGGTTTCATTTATGAATGAGAATATTTAAAGAAAGACATGTGTCTTTCAATATTTCTGTATTAGTTTCTGGCCTTTGAATTACTCAGTTTCAAAGCTAAATATGTTCTTTTATGTTCTGTTAACCCCCCAAACCCTCAGTCCAAAACACTTTCAAGTGTGAAATGAATAGGTGTTGCTAAGTCCCAATCACATGTACGGTGTCAAGGAAAAGACCCTCACACCTGGTTTATGGCCTGACACTGAGAACCAGCAGATGGCAAGGTGTTTGGCATTCTGTCATCAAAGGCTGTAACACTAGTAAACAAGAACAGCATGCTGTGATCTTTCCTCCCAGCCTCTCTGTCATGCCTAAACAATCTGTGCCAAGCTGTGCACCACAGCCCAGCAAAAACTCACATACCCATGAAACCTTCTATGACCCACTAATCATGCTTTAAGCAGTTGGTTCTCTGAAGACATGATAATAGTGGCCCAATTGTCAGTGTCGCTAGAAACAATTAGATTGTAATGGGCTTGTAAACAAAATATTTGTTAGCAACTATTTGTTGCTTCTCCCATCTGCAGAGTGACATTTTAATTAGCTCTCTGAGGAGTTTGTTGTACAAAAAAGGTAAGGTGCAAAAAAGCTTATTTATGATATTTAAAATAAAAAAAGTCAGTGAAAGGATAAAGAAACATGCAAACATTAGTTATTCACAATAAAAAAGTCAATAACTTGCATTTAAAAAATAGATTGGGTGATTTTCATTTAATGGCAACTTTAATAACATGACAGAAGAATATCCATTAATTGAAATTGGCTTCACCTAGAGTGCAGTGCATAAAATACATAAAGTCTTGAGCCAGTGACAGAGCTAAAGACAACTGATATCCTTTAGTCCAGTTGCTTGCCAAGAGACTTTAAATGGAAGTTCATTTTACAAAAACAGTCGTCCCTGTCTATGCCTACAATATAGTGCCGTGTCTCCCCTGGGCACATCTGTCCATTTATTAACCGTATGTCTGTGCCTTTCTACTCCACACGGCATTGCTAATAAGCAGCACTATTTTGGTGAAGTACAGAATTCAGACATGAACCTTGTATTTCAGCTGTCATCTATTAGTTTACTCTCCCAGTCTTGTATTCCAGACTGCCATTTTAATTATTTGTTTACATTTCTGTTTTTTTTTCCCCAAGAAAAAATATCCTGCAAAATACTATTTAGATCCTTTGTATTGCAATATGTGTGTTACATACTCCTGCTGTGTTTAATGAAAAGAAAAAGTAGTGAACAGAAGTGCAGCTGTGTGTGTATCAGCCTCTGAAGGACAACAGTGTAATTTCTGAAATGATCTTCATTTGCATTCTGAATCACATTAATTTGTCATAATCAAACCCCTGTCAATTTAGTGATAAATTACTGTTGCCTTTTTACATTTAAAAAATAAATTTAATTTGGTTCATTGTGACCGATGGTCATGAAAATGACATTATACAACATATGCATCTGATGTGCTTTATACCAGCAAACAACTGTGTAGAAACCACAGTTGAGGTGAATTAAGCAGAATAGTAGCACGATGCAACAAAAGCCAATAGAACCCAATTATAATCAGTGATTCTGTCTTCTGACAACAGCTAAAATTGTACTTGTAAGCATATGTATACACAGAGGAAAGCCTTACTTCTAATGGTGTAGCAGGGAGACCGTGCCAAATTAGACACCTTCAAGCTGCTGTGGTTGCGCCGCAACAGCGGTCGTGTCCATTGTAGACATTACTATTCGTCAAGCAGGTAACGTTATTATTACTAGCATAGTGGACTCATCACAAAATAAATTGGCATCATCTGTATTAAAGAGAAAATAATAACTTCATCCTATATTTAAGTGAATAAAATAGCCTTGACAGCCTTACTTACTGGAGTTCCACAACTATTGACTTTGTTCTCTCTCACCGGATTTGTGTTTGTTTAGGTGACGTAAAAGAAGAAAGCAGGCATTTGGACCAAAGCACTGTGAGGCAAGGGAGGGGGAGAATCAAAATGTTTCTAAAATTAAAATGCATTTTTGCCCCGTTTGCGTTGGTGTTGTTTTACTACTTACACAATTAATTAAAGTATAAAACATTGCTATTTACAATACACAGCATGGTTTTTAATCATATTTTTAAGGGGGACAACCTTCAGATAGGGGGGGTCCTGTCCCCCCCGATTCCCCTGGGATTTCCACCTATGCACCTGGTGTAGATATAGTGTCAGGGGGCACGCAATGACCGACTCTGAAATACTGATGTATACTTGTTCGTCCCTTCAGACTGAACATATATGCTCTTTTTTGTTGTGGAATCTCACTTGGTTCAAATGGCACTATTGGACGATAGGAACGTACTCAATGTGTCATTTGCAGTAAACAAAATTTTTTTTTCCATTCTCAGATTAATTTCCTGGGTGTCTAGCAGTAACACTATAGCTTCAGAGTGCCACTAGCAGCCTCGAGGGAAAATCAATTTTTTTTTCCTCGAATCTCAAGCACGTTCCTAAGAGGAAAAGGATTGTCAGGGCTTATCTCTTGTGGTATTGTAGCTCGACCAAAGGAGTTCAAAATTCTTTCAAATTTGTCTCGCCATTAAATTCTCTCTAACATTCTCTCTTAGAATGCCAAGCAACCAACCATGGACTGCTTTTCTCTCTCTACAGTTTCGAACATTTGATCCATGCAAGCAGCTGTGGTGCAGTCATCCAGATAACCCTTACTTCTGCAAGACCAAAAAAGGGCCTCCACTGGACGGGACTGAATGTGCACCTGGGAAGGTAATTTAATGTGTCCACATTTTGCTAGGCCTACTTTGTCCTGTTGTTGCCAATTTGATTCTGTCTCACTCCTTCCCCTCATAGTGGTGCTACAAAGGTCACTGCATGTGGAAGAATGCCAACCAAGTGAAGCAAGATGGAGCCTGGAGTGCCTGGAGCAAGTATGGCTCCTGCTCTCGCTCCTGTGGGACGGGTGTCCGCTTGAGAACCCGCCAGTGCAACAACCCTGCGTATGTTATCTACTGTACTCACAGTCATAATTGCTAATGAAGATCACTTGCTCCCTAGTGTACATTCCATAATCAGAATCAGTCATCATCATATGGATGGTTGCAGTTTCTTTGAAATAAAAAGTACGGTCTAGAAATAAAGCATACAGGCAGCAGGGGTGAACATGATTGATTCTACCCAATGAGATGAAAGGTCAATCACAACCTTAGCATTCCTCTGATATTGTAACGCCCCTGTGGACTGTTTGTTGTGGTTTCTTCCCTTTGTGTTGGTTTAGCCCGTCTAATCATTAGTTAATCACCGTCATTGTGCTCACCTGTCTGCCTCTAATTATTCACCCCATATTAGTTCCTGTCTGTCTGAGCATTGGTGTCGGTTATTGTTAATGTTACCCCGAGTGTGTGTCTCACCTACCTGAACCTGCCTTGTTGTGTCTACAATAAATGTCATTATTGGAATCCTTGTCGTCCTCATTGTCCTGCCTGCCTCCACACACCCGTGTCCGTGACAGATATAAAGTCTAGTTTGTCCTTTATATCAGTATTGTTCCAATAACTTTAATATTTCAAACCAGATAACCTCTGCATTGGGCCTGCTCATTTTACCTGTAATGATAGAGATTTTATAAAAGTATGAAAAGGTCTGATTACCTGTTTACATTCATAAATCTCTTTTATTGAGAAACAACTGCACATGGTGTTTTTAATCAGAGGAGCTGCCATCTTTGCCGTGTTATTTGTGTACACTCTAAAGTGTAATTTTCTTTTTGAGGAGACAGTATTTTTTGTGCCGGTCAAATGAGTGGCTGCTTCTTAATTTGCATGCATGCTATGAGAATGAAGGAAGCAAGAGAGATAGGAATTTAGATCTTTTTTTATTGCCAGCTCATTAGTGTGCTAGTTTTGAGGAGTGTTTGTTAAGGACTTGTTAAATGGCATTCGAGTTGAGCAGATGCTCGCACTTACAGAAAATATGCATGATTGAACATTTTAAGTTAGGCTTCGTAATGAAAGATGCAGACATTAAACTGTTGTAAAAATGTAATACATCTTTTGCGTTCCATCCAAACCTCAATTAGGTTGTCTGAATCCAGATCTAAATATTTTATTTGGTTAAAGAAGACATAGATGTGTTTCTAATATCTGTTTGTGCCAGACTTGTTCACTGAAGTGAACTGTGTTTTGATTAACCTTGGTTATTGACTGCTTTTTAAGTAATTCGGTGACCTTTGTTTGAACATTATCTGTTATCTATTAGTCCATCTAATGGAGGTCAGGACTGTCCAGGGGTGAACTATGAGTACCAGCTGTGTAACATAGATGATTGCCCTAAACACTTTGAGGACTTCAGAGCTCAGCAATGCCAACTTCGCAACTCCCACTTTGAATACCAAAATGCCAAACACCACTGGCTTCCCTACGAACACCCAGACGGTGAGTTTGTCAGTTTTTAAAGCAGTGTAACTTGGGGAAGTATTTCCCCAAACAGATATTTACATTCCAGGTTGTTGTGGTATTCCAAGAGCACTAAAATAGAGTGCAACAATGCATTTTAGCAGCCTTGTTCTGGTAGTGTTTCTCCCATAAAAGAGAGAGTGTAATGATTCATATAATGAAATATATTACTTTTGCTGAAACGCATTGTTTGGCAGCCATATACAACTAAACTCTAAAATACCTTGTCCCCACCATACTGGTTCATGGCTCTTGCCTGTCTTTTCTTGTTTGTGCCACATCCAATTTTCACATTGCTCCATGTTTCTTCATGTCTCTTACATGTAAACAGTATATACCGCCATTCTGTCAAGCCCTAATTTTAATGGCGACCAAGTAAGACAACAACAGATTCTCTCTGCCATACATTCACATATACGAAACGGGCACTCTGTGTTTTGAAGGAGCAGGGACATGTGTAGCAAAATCAGCAGAGACCAGCTTAGCTGTCCACACACACACACACACAGCTTGTAAATGTGTCCTCCCTCCTGGAAGAACCACAACACATCCATTCCATTTCCAATTGTGGTCAAGTCCACTTTCCTCAGTGTGTTCAGCTCAAGAAGTGAAGGCGTTTAGAGTGCCCTCACATGACAAAGTGTCATTCTGAGTGTGATTTTTGTCAAACTTTGCGCTTACTGTAGTCGCTTCATGTGATATTTATTTATAGCCATTTATTTTTGGGCTATTTCTACATCTGTTATACTTTTGAGTATGATGAGAAATGTGATTTTGAGTAACCCACAAAATGAAAAGCCCACATTGCTTAACACTAAAGCCAGTGAGAAATGTCACTAAAAGGCACCTCGCTATTCTGTGAACACTTTCATTGTTTTTCATTATACATTCATTATATTTTCATTATACAAACCTTAATATCACTTAACAGATCACTAGTTCATGAACATTAAAATGTAATTAAAGTATATGAATTAATTTTAGTTTAAAATAAAAAAAATATGAATCACTTTATTTTAAAGTATAAAATAATATATTCTGAGATGCGCATAGCTACCTCATTGTGTGTGTGTCTATGTGTGTGTGTGTGTGTGTCTGTATGCTGGCATTTACAAGTACTAAGGTGAGGTAGGATTTTTCTCATGAATTTTAATTATGTGTGCATTATTCAGCTGTAGAATTAATCAGACAGAATTTTGAAGGCATGCTTCATAATTAAGTTACTTGACCAATCACTTCCACAAGGTTTCCTAGTGTTGTCTAAATTACCATGTTAATTTTCACACACTATACATTCATTTCATTGTGTTCCATTACAGTTCTGTGCTGTGCTGAAAATAATGTGATCATTTATGCCTGTCATTCCAAACCTGTATGACTTTTTCTTTTCTGGAACATAAAAGGTTTGGAACAATGTGTGGGTGTGAAAATGCTGATATCATTTTCATTTTGGATTAACTATTCTTTTAAACTTTTGCGCTGTTTTTCTCTTGACTAAAAATGTTAGGGAGTTATGCTAATGGTATTACAGTATATACATTTTGAAGAGTTTATTCAGGTGGAAAATGTCAGACCTAGTTCAAAACATGGATATCAAGACCTAAAAAAGCACAGTCATTTTCATTTTACTTGTATATTATATTATACTACTCATTATGCTTGATTATATACAAGTTTTATTGTTTGAACATGATCATGATTTCCAATAACATTATTTTAATTAGATAATACAGCAGACAACAGTGCACATAACTGAGTCCAGCTGTAATTTGCGGTCTTTCTTATTCAATAATATTTCTTTATGTTTTTCTATATTTTCAGCCAACAAAAGATGTCACCTTTATTGCCAGTCAAAAGAAACAGTTGAAGTGGCTTACATGAAGCAGCTGGTGCATGATGGGACAAGGTGCTCTTACAAAGACCCATATAGCATCTGTGTGCGTGGAGAGTGTGTGGTAAGTATTTGAGTTTCATTATGGGTTTTAAGTATTATTTCATAGTTTTATGCTTCCATTTTCAGATATTAGAACTGGTGCTAGAGTGCTAAAACTTCATTAGCACAAATTAAAATTAATATTGCTAGTATTTTTCACAGTAAGACTTCAGTAATAGAATGGTGTGCAACAAAATAGCTTATTATCATAAGTGAATATATTTTTTTGAGCATTTGATGCCATGAACTTTGCAAACTTAGGTTGAGGCTCGCCTTCAAAATCAGTATTGTTCTCTTTAAAAATCTTTGCATAATTGTTTAATGTTCTACAACAAGAATGGCAGTAAATACATAATTACAAGAGATTGTTTTTATTAAATAGACATCAATCCATTGGCTGGCCATTTTCTCCCACTAGCAGAGAAATGGTTATTTTTTACTTCCAGTGTTTACTTTATTTTCATTAAGATATCTAAAACTAATCTGAATATTGGTGAAATAATGTCAGTGTCTGTAGCTGCTAGGGCTCTGTTTTGGGGAATTCACTTCCTGGCAAGATGCACACAGGGCAAACAAAATATCTTCCCTTTTTATTGATTGCCTTAGTTTTGTCCCTAATTGTGCCGCAAAACACCAGCATGCAGTGTAGGGGGACATTACCTTGTCTGACATTAATGTACACATCTGGCTCACTGTACTCACAGACTTGTGTTGACTAAAATGCATGTATGACCAGTTTGAAACTTATCATACACTTCTGAATAGGTAAAAATTAGTCTACACATATTATTAATTTTAATTATAAATGCAGGCAAATCTGTCACACTGTATATCCCTGCTATTTTCTGTTAAAAATTTGTGAGTTGCCTTTGTGGTTTGTCACAGAGCAACTGCATCTGACAGTGCAGTGTGTACAGGATAAGTGCCACTTCACAGTGAATGTTGTTTGAAGAATGGATCTCTCTGGATGAGGTTGATAAAAGCACATTGATTTTTGTAGATGGAATGGACAATGCATAGTGATTAACTTTTGGGAGGAAATGATTGATAGTATGTCAGCTAGTGTACAGAAGCTAGGATTTATTTGCAGATATATATCACCTTTTAAAAAGTTTTGTTCAGCAAACTGCTGCAGTGTGTCTCATATTTGTCAATGTCATTTTGTACTTTCGAAAGAAAAAGAAATGTTTCTTGGTGACACTTTTTTCTGTGACCAAAATAGCAACACAGGAGATACATCAAAACCATCACAAACAGCTATAGTTTTATGATATCAGATGCAGACATATCCAAAGATGAAAGCTTGAAGTATTTCTGATAGCAACTTGTGCCTCTTCTTCTCAGTGTGTCTTGAATATCCATCTTCCTCTCTTTCTCTCTCTCTCCATTTTCTTCAGAAAGTGGGCTGTGACAGGGAAATTGGCTCCAATAAGGTGGAGGATAAGTGTGGTGTGTGTGGGGGTGACAACTCCCACTGCCGAACTGTAAAAGGAACCTTCACCCGTGTGCCTAAGAAAGCCGGTAAGATGCTTTCCTCTTTCCGGGGCCATTGATGTGCAGTATTTTACTTATATGAGACAGTTCTTTATTCTAGACTGCAGCCCTGTCATTAAGTCTTTTAGTTTAAGGACACATCTGGAGCTAACTTTGCTTTTAGGGAGAAAGAAAACAGCAAAGTGATAATGCTGGGATGTTTTGAGATTTGAGTTCACTCATTTATAATTGATATATGATGATATATTTATTTTATTAGATATGACATCTCAGAAACACCAGCTGTCTTTAATCAGGGCTGCCAACTCACGCAATTGACACCTTTTCACGCTTTCACGCCACACATCCATTTTCTCACGCAGTCAAAAGCACCCTCAGTTAAAACTATAATAATAGGATATTGGCAAAACAAATTTGGGAAAGGCTCCTGTGCGCATCAAGATTCTTTACAATGTGTTTTCGTTACGCTGAGCAATGTAGCCAATCACAGACATATCTGTTGATTTCCTGAACACCTGTGATTGGCTATTACATTCACTCACCTCTAAACTCATATATACCCTGTACAAGCAGCAAAGTTTCAGGAGTGACAGCCTAAATCCCTCATAAATGCGGGATTCATTTTCGATCGGGAGAAGAATATAATTTCTCAAAATAGATTTTCAAGCAATGCAGATTAACAGATTAATAGAAAAATATTTAAAATATAATGCTTATAAATACTTGCAGTTGCAATTATAAAAGTAATGACTAGTACATATTGCAGTTATTTGTACATTGCTATTCTTGTTGTGGTAAAAAGTTAGTTTTGCAGCACTGCAACAGTTATTTTCCATAATTTTATTATAAAAACACAGTAGGGGAAAGTGGTGTAAGATGAGTCTTTTTTTACTTATGTGGTCCTCAAGATAAGGGAAATGATGCAAAAGTACAATGAAAGTCTCTAAAGTAATTTCAGGATGTTTCCTATCATTTTAAATTATCAGAATGTATCTATGACAAAGGGTTCTAAAATATGGATTCTTATAAAAAAAAAGTGTTTCTGTGGCTCAATTTGCCCCATGGTGGGGGTAAGTTGACCCAAGTCAGTGTGCAAGATGCACCATCTGGGTGTAAACTGACCATCTCGTTGAATCTGATTCAAACCCATGTGAAATTTTAAGATAATTTACCTCTTTTAAAAATATTTAATAATAAAATTTCCTTTTTCAAACAGTCATATTTCTTTTCTTAAAGCTAACTTAAACAACATAAAACTAACCAAATGAAGTTTAAATTTCAATCTTTAAAGGGGTCCTATTATGCTCTTTTACAAAGTCTTGATTTTGTTTTGGGGGTGTACAAAAACAGGCTCTCATACTAGGTTGTTTGAAAAACACATTATTTTTCACATATTTTACATTATTACAATACCTCTCTCCCCAGTCTCGCATGAACGGCTCGAATAGTTCCTGTATCAAATGAAGGCCCGCCTTCTGAAATACGAAATGTGCTGTGATTGGTTAGCTGAGCCAGTGTGTGTTGTGATTGGCAGCACTCGGCGCCTGCTCGGAAAATGTCATGCCCCTTACCATAGCCGCCTGCTGCGAGCTTCAGTGTAAGTATTGCGTCAGTATCAAATCAATTTGAGCGCGATTTAAACCTGGATGATTGTAACCACTCTAAGTTCGTCTGCCTTGGGAAAGCTAGCGTGTCTCTGACATAGTGATAAGACTAGTTGCCTTCTCTAGTGCAGCTCAACCAGGTCTCATCCCATTCGTCGATATTTGTGATATCACAAATCCCAGAAAATATGCATTGTAGTCCAAACGAGTCATTCGTTGTAGTTTTTGAAAAGTGATTTCTGTTAAATAAAATATCTCCTTTTAAAGTGGACTTTGAAATTTGTAACTTTGCAGATCTTTTTTTATGCTCAAACAGCAACATTACAGGCTAACTAAAGTTGAAAAAGTGAAAAAGCATAATAGGACCCTAAAGTCGACTTTTATGTGATGAGTCGAAGTCTGACATATATACAGTATGTCAGACAACACCAAATAACCCCCCACCCAACGTGCTGTGGGAATTCTCACTCCAAGTTGTACTCAAAAGTTGGCAGCCCTGATTTAATAGTTTTATGCATGTGTGATTTATTAATAAGCATTATTATTATTTTAGTATTCGAGAAGAAGTGAGAAAATTGCTTTTAATTATTTAGTTTGCATACTCACAGAGAACCTCTTTTGTTTTAAAGTTCATTTTAGAGTTTTAAACTGTGTCCAAGATGGTATGTATTGATATCTTTAATTTTTACTATGACATTCCTACTCTAACACCACAGAATGCAAGAGCAGTTTTTAGAGATTTATTTGACAAACACATTTACATGTAAGGGGCATCTGTACTTTCCATCCTCTTTACTATACGTACAGTAAATGACCACATTCAAATGTCTTATTACACTCACTCAGTCTACATTCAGTCTTTATCAGACAAATTGGAGGTTTTGCCTACATCTAGAGAAAGTTGTTCATTTGTATTTCTCATAGCAGATAAGATAAGATTTCTCATAGCAGATCGGCCAATCTCTATCATTGACACTATGTGACAGCGACATAGAGCCAAGTACCATTGGCAGTGAATTCAATATAAAGTGAACAACATATTCAAAACCAGGACATTTTGCACCCGGGGAATCACAATAGATGTTTTGCTACAGACAATGCTGAGCAGCCCATTACAGAAAAGCCATCAAGTTTTGGAGGGAGGTGTGTTGTTATTATTGAGCCAACAGCAGTCAGGGATGAAAACATGGTAGTCATCTAATTGGTTTCCTTAAGCAACCATCACTTTATTTTTTAATGATATTTGCCAGTTGTGCAGCCTTAGTGTGAGCTTGAGGCTTGCACTAGAATTCATTTATAAATAGATTCCCCCACTGTGCATACTGTGGCATTTTAAAAAAAAATGTTAATTACAGGATTATAATTTTAGGATGTTTTAGCATACTTGTCACTGTGGCTGGTAACAGGTATTCAATTAAAGAACCAAGAGTTCCAGCCTCAAAATTTCCATCCCAGCAAGGGTCTGAAGAATCATAATTTGATCTTATTTTCAGATGGCCTAATGAAACTTGCAGGCACACTTGCTCTTCAATGCTCACTTTGTGTTGAGTCTATCCTACTTTTTAATGAAAATATTGTAAAAAGAATAACAGATTTTATAAATTAAGCATGCCATTTGTGTTACTTAATAAATATAAATGGAATCGATTCATATTTTTAAAAATTTGCTTTTTAGTTTGTTTTAAAGCACTTCTGGTTAAAGGCCCATCCAGATCTGCACTATTTTATTTATTTATTTATTTATTTATTAATGCATACAAATTGATTACATTGATCAAAAGTGACAGTAAAGACATTTATAACATTACAAAATATTTCTATTCCAAATTAATGCTGTTCTTTGAACTTTCTATAGATCAAAGAATCCTGAGAAAAATGATCATGGTTTCCACAATAATATTACACAGCACAACTGTTTAAAAAATTGATAATAATAATAATAAATGTTATATTAGAATGATTTCTGAAGGATCATGTGACACTGAAGATTCATCTTTGCCATCACAGGAATAAATTGTATTTTACAATATACTGTATTCAAATAGAAGATAGTTATTTTAAGTTTTTGATCAAATAAATGCAGACTTTGTGAGCTTAAGAGTCTTTTTTACAAAAACATGAAGAAAAAAAAAATTCTTAATGGCTCCACTGCACAACCCTGAATCACAAATATGATACTACTGAAGCTAGTTCTTTACACCTGCACGAAACTGTGACTCTGTACAAAGCCTGTCGCAATATTGTCACACTGCATATCATAATATGCTCTTGCTTCTTCTACCAACCTGCATGTATGTTGATAAAGATGCCTTGTCTCAAAGCAACGCTTGTATACGGGCCTGATCAGTCACTTAGCAGTTCATGTGGATATGTAACACCTACTCAAAATAAGATTTTTGGGCCATTGGTGGCTTTTATTGTTAGATTGTTTTTTTTTATATATATCCCAAGAATCCTTCTGCTATTTTGTCCACATTTATTTCTTTTTCAATTAGCTGAGGATTTAGTTGATTTAATAGCACATATGTAAGAATAGAACCAAATGGAGATAGTATTAAAGGACATGATTTTCCTCTGTTAATCCTATTTGTTTAACTTCATGGTGTATTAAACTTGTGATTAGAGAGGAACCTGAATGAACAAAGGGCAAGGGCCTGACATCTTTATTATGGCCCTGGAAGGCCTGACATCTTTATTATGGCCCTGGAAGGCCTGTCAAGCCTGCATGTACATTAGCTCATTTGAATGCAATGTGAGGGACTATACTTCATACAGTACTTCAGAGCTGTGCCTGCTCTCAACCCAAAATGACATAAGTCCTCATAGGATTACTTAAGTTACGTCAATTTTAGCATAAATATGCAAAGCACGTTCTGAGTATAAATCTTCTTCAGAAACAAGCATTAGCCACTGGCAGAGTGTTTCAATGCAGTACTTTTCAGGGCTGACTAATTTTACTGTTACATAGACAATCACAACAGATCCTCAGTTTGTCTTCATTTGACCTGCGGTTTATTAACAGTGTGGCATACAGGCCTATACAGTGACGATAACGTACACTGATGCTAATGCATAAAAAAACACAGCCCTCGCACACATGGCAGGACAAATGTGTCTAAGAAATGTGTCTTGCCTCTGAAAGACATGGCATGTGGCATAATTGAGATGTACATTATTATAAAAGACTGTCAAAATTCCTGGCTCTATTTGAGGCTTTCACATGTGCCTTCATGTGTGTTATGAATGCAGACTGTGCAGTTAATTATGATGGTGTCACATGTGTTATGTTTACTTGTGACAATGAATGAATGTTTCATTCTGGCTTTAAGCAGAATTTGCATGATGTTTGAATCCTGATTTTGTTATACAATATGTGTCATAATTGGTGATTGTACACAATTTATGATGCTATCACAAATTTTAATGACATTTCTTATATTGTACTACATTCAACTCATTGCATGAACTTAATCAGCATTTTGACCTTTCTCTATCTAACTCTACCTTGTTTTATTGTCAATTGATCACTTCTTTAACAGGAAAAAAGTTAAGCAAGAGATCCCAAAAAGAAATGTTGGAAAACACAACCTGCAAGTATCTTGTATTGTCTAATCCTACACTTCTCCTTCCTGTAGTATTGCTGTGTTTTGCATTAACTGTAGCTTGTAGATTTAAAGCAATATTCAGCACTTGATATAAATTAAGCACTATTGACCGCATCGGATGAATACTGTTGATTACCACAGAAAATAACTTTGATTCCCTAGCTTTGTTTATAAAATCCAAAGAAAAACCCATTGCATTAATGCACTTAATGGATACCCATGGGGTAAATGTATTGAATATTTAAGAAACAGAAATGTGAAGGTCATACTTTTCTTGAAGCACTTGAATTATTCAGTAAAATTGATCTGTTTAATTCGTGTTTTTGTGGCAGAAACCTTTGATTTAGCATTATCAATGAAATTCCTGCGTGACGTTTGTTCCATAAACAGCATTTTGTAGACAGTTCCTTCCTTTGCTTATATTCTTGTGTAGATATTCGACTGAAATTTGACTGTTTAAACTTGGGTTTACCAACTTTTTTAACCCAGAAAAGTTAAGCAGCTCTAGTATATATACTGTACCACAGATTTTAATCATTAGTTTGCTTTGCTGTACACTATAGGCTTCCATTGTAAGTACATTAGTGTAAAAGTGTTTTTCCTTTGTTTTCTACAAAATAAGGGACAGATTAAAATTATTTTCTCTACTGATAGACAGTATGCCACCGATAAGCTTGATGTAGATTTAACTTAGAATCTTCCCTAAATATTTGACCTAAAATTGCTTTGTGGTGCCATGTGCCAGTTAAAGACTGTTATTACATTAAAGGATAGTTAATCCAATTATTTCAATCACTTACTCGCCCTCATGTGTCATACCAAACCTGTATGCATGTTTTTCTTCTGTTGAACACAACAAAGATGTTTTGGAAAATGTCTCAGTGTTTTTGTCCATACAATGAAAGTGAGTGGAGTTCGATGTTGTTTGGACGCCAACATTTTTCAAAATGTCTCCTTTTTTGTTCCATAAAGGTTTGGAACAACCGTAAATTATTTTCATTTTGGGTCAACACTTCCTTTAAATAAGGGTCTTAATCAAAGATGTCCATATTTCTCATTTCCAAATATTATAAAATATAGTATAAATTGTATATAATCTAAAGAAACAAATAACATGAAGCCTGAGTAAATCTAATAGGATTAGTATATAAATATGCTCTCTCTTTCGTTCCCTCACACACATACTGTACCACATCCCTCCCCCACCATCATCACACACCAACCATTATTTATGTCCATCTTCTTTAATCTCCCTTTCTCCTTCCTCAACCCTATTTTATTCCTGCTCCGTTTGGCATGCACTCTAACCTCATCTGAACTCTATTAGCATTACCCAGCAGCCCCATCTTTCTCTGTCAATGTCTTCCTGCCACATTAATCGATGATAAAACCTCCCAGCAGACGTTGCCTTAAGTGACTTGATCCACCATTGCAACAATTAGACTAGTGGCCACTTTTTTACATACACCCGTGTCTCAGACAGGCGCCATGCTGCTAGAGGCTGGTTCAAAGCCTAGCTTTGGTGTAGAGGCATTTAACATGTCAGTGACAAAGAGTGCGGGGCAAAATGACATAACAAACCCTTCTTATCCTAAAGGGAAAACAAGAGGAGCCTTCTTGCTGCCGAAAGGAGCTCGCAATGTGTATCTGAATGAAACAGAGGATTCTAGAAATGTGATGGGTGAGTGGTATCATGCTTTGCAGAGGAATGGGCATTGGTAGAGAAGGCAACATTAGTGTTTTTATGTTCTTGTGTTGCAAAATGACTCAAGGCCCTGCCATTCAGCATCCTTCTTAATTAGCCTTACATCACAATCGTTCACGGTCTTCATTTTCATCTGACATTGTTATTTGAGCTTCTGAAGGATATGTCATCTATTCACATGGGTGTGAATGGATGAAATTAATGGATGAGGAACCTTTTGTCGTGATTTGATGCTTGTCTCATAGGCTTGTCATGACCCTGCTTGATGGACAGTTGCAATAGTCTGACTGTTCAAATCTGAAAGCTTTAGAAATGTACTACTGTAGAAATGCCTTCTAGTGATGCCCATCTCTGCAAAGATCAAACCGTAGTAGAACATCTTAGCTAACTAATTGCTTCTGCCATCTCTCCCTTTGCCCTTTTTCGCCATTGCAAAGGTTACCTAAAGATGTTTCTCATTCCTCCTGGGGCTAGACATGTGATCATACAAGAACATGAGGCTTCTCCTCAAATTCTTGGTAAGTGATATCTGTCAGTATGTTTCTCAAGCTTAACAGCAAGAAGATCAAATGCATGTTTATGTATTCTGTGCTTGTTCCAGGTAACTGTGCATAATGGTTCCATATCACCCCAATACATGTCCATCTCACCAATGTATTCACATAAAAGAGCTTGTGTATTTGCCTGGAAGTGCATTAGACAGAATTAGTCTCACTGATTTTAGAGACAATCACTGTCCCCCACAATTTGTCTGTGGCAGAATGGGCGTTTTCAAACCATGGGTTTATTATGGAATTTACAGTGGGTTTTAGAATAGTTTTTTTTTTTAAAGAGTAAAATCATGTTTCAGATTTTGTTCCACAAGTAGCTCAAACTTGAATTTTAAAACCAATTTGTGGTTTTAATGCAGAAGTTGCTCAAATGTTGTACTACAACTACTCGGAGTGTGCTTTGATGAGTTAATTAATGTTAATGTGGTTAAACAAAACCTGAACATCTCTGTAGCTCAAACAGTAGAGAATGCCACTAGAAATGCCGAAGCTATGGGTTTGATTTCCAGAAAAAGCAAGAACTGATAAAATGTGTGCTTAAATGCAATTTAAAATTTAGTTGCTTTGGATAAATGTGTCTGCCAAATGCATAAGTGTTAATGTAAAGGAAAGTTTCTTAAAGTGATGTTAACCACAGGCTTTATTAAACTCATAAATCAAAAGCGCTATTCTAGAAACCCATTAGAAATCCTGAGACAACTCATGGGGAATTAGCTCTCTCGGTTGACCGGCTAATTCACATTGTGACGGTACAGCTCCATTTGCCATCAAATTGTGAGCATTACTCTGTTGCATTTCTGAGCTTTATGTGATATCAATACTGGAGACAGTTCCATTGCAGAATGCGAAAAAAATACTTTCAGTGCTAGCTCTTGAAGGGGTCATTGGATGCCTATTTTCCACAAGTTGATATGATTATTTAGGTTCTTAATGAAAAGTCTATACCATACTTTGGTTAAAATTTCTTAATGGTAGTGTAAAACAACACCCTTTTTACCTTGCCAAAAACAGCTCTTTTCAGAGCAAGCCTTTTTGTTGCATGCTGCTTTAAATGCTAATGAGCTCTGCTGACCCTGTCCGTCTCTTCTGTGGGGTGATGTGCAGTTCTCTGAGAGACTGTAAACTTTAGCCGCATTTAGCCACGGAAGTTGCTAACTAGCACGTTATTAGGAAAGGCGATTTGCAAAGATTCATAAAAAAGCCTTATACTCACTTCTTCTGTAGGCGAAGCTCGATCACGAATGATTCACATGAACATAGACGCATTTAGGTAGATCGGGGGCGCATTCCCTTCAAAAACAAAAGTAATCCACTGCGTCTTCAGTGGCTCAGATGTCGGGAGTAAATGATGACTGCTATGTTCATTATTACATCCAACAACAAAACAGTTCAGTCGCTTAGGAGACATTCTTGTTTACATCTGCTCCAGCATCGAAACAATGGCGAACTGATGACAGCTCACTCTGGGCGGAGCTGTGATAAAATTAAAGACTGACGCCACTGTCAATCAACAATCGTGGGAGGGGCCTGGGTATGTGTGACGTCACACTGGCAGGAATCTGAGAACGGCTTGATTTGAGAAAGGGGTAATGATTTTAGGAGATTATAAAAAAAAACACTGGGTGGATTTTTATCATTATAGGGTGGTTGTGTACACACACTGCCAACACACATTTATGTTCAAACAACATGTAAAAGTGCATTTCGCATCCGATGACCCCTTTAATTTTTCTAAAATCGCTTGCTTTCTTTGAGGTCCTTTCTTAATCAAGGTTTCTTTTTTTCTCTCTGATCTGTAACAGTAAGAAAATATTGTCTTGTGCTTTACAGTGTCTCTTCTAACTGTATGCAGAGTTAAAAGCTGGAGAGACAAATACATTGATTGGCCCATTTTCTTTATTCTATTCATTTTGAAAAGTCCACACAGGCAGCAATTATCACTTTGTAATGCACGTAACTGAACAAGTTGCTTTTATTTCAACAATATTACCCTTCTTATAATTGCTTCTCCATAAATGTAGGAATTTTAATATGAATAATAATCCTCAGTAGTTGAACTTTTAATTAAACCTAACCTTATTATAATTAGTTAGATAAGATGTTCAATGCCTCACTTCACTGTCCCAGTTAACCTTCCAAGAGGTCTTCCAAAGGTAATTCTGTTTCAATAATACTTTCCTTTGGGGGTGCTTAATAGCTTATTAATAGGCGCTAATCACCGCCACGGCCCGGGTTCGATTCCCGGTAAGGGAATGCTCTTGGGGAAGTCGTGGCCTAATGGTTAGAGAGTCGGACTCGTAACCCAAAGGTTGCGAGTTCGAGTCTCAGGTCCGGCAGGAATTGTAGGTGGGGGGAGTGAATGTACAGCGCTCTCTTCCACCTTCAATACCACGACTGAGGTGCCCTTGAGCAAGGCACTGAACGCCCAACTGCTCCCCGGGCGCCGTAGCATAAATGGCCGCCCACTGCTTGCAAGGCACCGAACCCCCAACTGCTCCCCGGGCGCCGTAGCATAAATGGCTGCCCACTGCTTCAGGTGTGTGTTCACGATGTGTGTGTGTTCACTGCTGTGTGTGTGAACTTAGGATGGGATAAATGCAGAGCACTAGTATGGGTAACCATACTTGGCCACATGTCACGTCACACAACTTAACTTGCAATAATTAGATTCCTTTGTAGGTCAAAATGCTATAGTTTAGAAGTTTATATGTACTTTATGTACAGTGTATATATACAGTAT